GGGGGGGGGAGGGCGTGATCAAGAAAGATACACGGATACCTGATACCTAATACCGGAGCGGCCAGACTAGATCGAACTTTAAAAGCCGCACGGCGGAAGATGCCCAAGGGTCGAGCGCCGAATGTAGAGAAAACATCGGTCGCTGGAGACAGCATTTCCTGATCATGTTCGGAGCTTGAACGGTTTAATCGGACGTTGTGGCAATATCCGTCGAACATGAGTGTTCAGCCAATCAGTAGCTGCCGATCACCCATGTTTGGCAGTCGAACAACAATGAAAACTCGCTGTCTCCTGTGAGCTGTGTTCGACGCATGTTCGCTACTCGAAGTTTGGAAATTGCCCACAGTGCCGCAGGCGTTGTTTGCTCTCGCGGTAGAGGTTCTGATGGTTGGAGAGTTCAGACAAGATTTCGACATCACGTGCTTCTAAGCGCTTGTCTCCGCATATGTCCGAGGGGCCGAGTCTCTCCAAGTCTGTCACCCATGCAGCCCCCGTAGCCACTTTAAACAGCGCCGATGGCCAGAAACAACGCTGCAAGCTACCCGCTAAAGAAGTGCCAGCATGACCAGAGGAAAGACGCCCGAGCCTACCCAATTTGAGAATTATGCCCCTAAGCCCGAGCCGCCAACAATCCCTTTCTTGATCCTGCACTGAAGCTACGTATGAAACGGAGCTTACCGAGCCATTATCTTATTGACGAATCAAGATTACGAAACTGTTTCACTTCTGATACTTGTCGTGCTCTGATTCAATTAGCCAGGAGTGAGTGTTTTCCTCATTGCCGAGTCTCCGAGCCACAGTCCGTTGATGGTCCCTGCTCAACGTGATCCCACGAATAAACGGCACATACTGGCGGAAGCGAACAACTTTGAGAATATTTAGTAAGATCTGGACACATCTTGATTCGGACTGCTGATCGATTTGTTGCAGCGAAACAGCATCTGCAAGTACGCCTTTGGGGAGCTCAGGTACCTCAGGCTGTAAGCTTGCTCATTGGTCCGGCAGGCATATTTGAATTGGTTTGAAATGAGACCCTTTGCTAAAACCACCTTTTTGTGGCGTTCTCTCTGATGCAGAAAGTAGCCACTGCGGATGAGGCTACCAATGCTCCACCCTGAGACATAGGTAAAGCATAATTCACACTTGCTAATCGGTACCTGTCACAGGAAACTTAACATCAGGCCGTCGAAAATTGAGTGCGTGTCTCACTTCCAAATTGTTCAAGGTTTCTGGCCATCTGTGGCAGTGAGCATGCCATGCCACCTCCATCCAAAAGTTTTCGACTGAAAGCTTTCTTGAACGTTTTGAATGCTAAGAAGAGGCGAAGAGTGCTGGGAGCACAGCACTACGGGACTAGAACCACGCCTAGCAGCGAAGTTGCAGGCAAACGAGGATTTCAGGTTTTTAGGGCGACTTGTTCGCACGAATGATGCAAAAAATCCCCGACGAGCGCCAGATGTGCCTCCAAATGCACAGGTCTACTTGGTATTAGAAGTTGTGTAGATGCGCGAGCCACATGCGGCAACCGAATAATGCTCTACCGCATCGAACAAGCGCCTTGGCGTCCATATTTGGCAAATGTTATGTTCACTTAACGCTCGCCTGATGCAGCTTCGGACGTATGTCAACAGCGGGGCGTTTGATGCCGCGAGGACTAACCAAGCAAAAACATCTCAGCATCACCAGCCATTCGACACGAAAGCCTTCTCTTGGCAGTCTCGAAGCGGAGGAACATATCGAACGCGTCAGTCCGTCGCCCTTCAATGGAGGTATACCGTTATAGTTGTACGTTGCGACGAGCATATCTTCGTTCTAGCAGACGACAAATGGAGAGAAGACCTGCGTGGTCACTCAATCCCCGGTCACGGTAGGAACACTGATTTTACTAAAATCCATCATTGCCAACCGGTAGAGCCATTGTTGAGTTCAATGTTCGGATCGTCTTCTTATTTGATGCGTTGATTTTTCTCCAGTAATATGCAGTCGGCTTTAACGCCGCTGCAGATTTTTTAGGGTCCCTGGAAGACACAGTCTGTCTTATGGCATGGCCAACATTGATGCCGGGATATTCATCATTGCACAGGTGGTGCGTACTCTCATAGGCTGGACATGCATCTTGAACGAGTTTGAGATTGCATCCGTCTCGAAATGCATCTATTTGGTAGTGGTTCTCCTCCTGATGCGTCTAGGAGACGATTCATTATCCATTGATCGGGCCTTGATTACATCTCTCAGTCACCCTGAAAACCACAATACCGAAGGGCCATCAGAAAAACACGCCGAGTTCACATGAATGTTCGGCGGAGAGACGTCACGGAGACTAACACATGCCTCGCTATCTCGTCCTCATCTCTCACCTTGCTCTCCCGCGCACGCGATATACCGCAAAGCAACATGCTCGAGCAGTTCTACCGTCCACGGGGTGCGGAAGCGTAGCTGCATCGAGGAGCAACGTGCAGTCATCATACTCGTGTTTTCTGAACACGGCAGGTGGACACGCTGAACCTATTCTGGCGTACCCTGCTACACTCCTGCATCTAGTCCATGACACCGGACTGCAGAGCGCCTGTGTCGGCCATCTGCGCACCGCCTCGGGTCGGAATCGAGTACTATGCGAAAGGCGTCAGGGGGATCTGCCGGTGGTAAGCATGGCATAAACGCCCAAATCCGGACGCTCGGAATCTGTGTCCCTTCCAAGTCTGAAAGGCTAGTGACACGGCAGACGCATCTCGTCTCCGATACGGAGCGAAGGAGAAGTGTGTAGAGTGACTGGTGCGGGGGATTGTAAGCAGGCTGATGGTCGTTGCGACAGGGTGGAGGGATGGGTAATATACCGGCCAGAAGCATATCTCGCGCTGGTAGGCCGAGACGAGACGATAGCCAGAGTCTTCGAGTCAGGATGGGAATCGGGGGTGAGAGGGTGGTGCTAACACAATCGAGATTAGTTGCATCAGGCTGCATGCACCACTCGTACCACTGGCCAATGAGACATACTTCAAGTTGGAGGTGGAGGTCTGAGTGCAGGAGTAGTTATGTGGTGGTCACTAATCCCACCAGCGCTGCGCACAGACAGCCTAAGCAACTGCCATCGCCGCCGGCTCATCTGCGTTCAGAAATGGAAGACCGGAAATTGTGGCGCCATGCCAATCAATAATCAATGTCACGGAGTGTATCCGCCGCCAGTAACCTTCATGTGCGCACCATGAGTGCGGCTCGATGCCCATCTCCAAATCTCCTTTACAGGCTCAAATTCAGGTCCTAGTCCAAGTGCAACCCCGACGCACTTCCTGGCCCCGTTGATCTCGAGTGCATATCATAGTATTCCCTATCGTGCGGAGGGAAACTGTAGTACAAGATGATCAGTGATCATCAGTAAGTCTTCTCTGAAACATTTGTTACAACTTGAAGACTTCAAATTGTCACCGGAATCGGATTGTGGGAAAATGCGCGCAGGGAAAGAGGATGTTTACTTATCCGATTATTTGCAGGGTGGATTGAATGCGTTCCTGAGTTGGATGATATCAGTCCACGATCAGCGCGCCTCCAGGGTAGGCCTTGTGGTACTCTGTCGGATAATTTCATGAAGCTACTTTGTCTGACTTGCGATAATCGTGACAGTACAGTCGAGGACGACAGAGCCGGGGTCATATCTGGCGTCGGTCGCCGCTCACGTGCTTCCGCCGCACTGCGCATCGCCGTCCGCTTGCGAGCCACCCTGTCTCGCGATCTGACCCCCATCCGCCTACACGCGGCTTTGCCATGGCCCACAACAAGCCGCATCAGCGGTCATCAGGAATAAATAATGATGTATGAATAAGTCCTTCTGCGGAAAGATGTCAAGCAGAACGCAAGTCTCCACCTTACCGTTGCGAAAGAGTAACGGCGCATCGTGGATTGCGATCTTCTGCCTCAATCCAGCATGCGACAAGATATAGCCAAAAGTACCTCCTTTCACAAGGCTCTTAAATCGCCTCTCGGACCTCGGCATCCCCATCTTCTCACCCACGTCATAAATACCGCTGCAACCCATTTGCCCTTTCGCCAACATGGACTGCTTTTCTAGCGCGTAAGTACGCAGCCATCTCCCTCTGTGCCTGCAGAACTGAACGGATCCCTCCCTCCAAGTAACGGGATATCAATGGCATATCTCTACAATCCGGCTCACTCCGACTCCACACACTGTGCTGCCGCCCCATGGGACGCATCACTCGCTCTCAACGAGACGAACGATTTTCACACTCACGTGCACATGCAGAACTTGCACTGGCCTGCGTTATCCGTCGGCGCCCTCGCGCACCACGTATACCCCAGAGGAGACAGCGCATCCACCCCGAGCCCTTCCGCCGCCCTCCCGCCCGATGCACAAGACTTCCTCGGCGCTCGCCTCGCTCTCTTTTCCGACGCCCCGTCCCGCATCCGCCAATGGCTCCACATGCTCGCACACCCCGCGCACGCCGTGCGCATCGAGCCCGCGCTTCCATCTCCGCCCGCGTACGGGTATGCAAACACGCACAAGACCTTCTCCGCCTCCACCCACGACCTCTACGCATTCTCACCCGGCACATACAGCCCCGGGGCATCTTCAAGCTCCGACTCGACGAACGCGCTCGACATACTCCCGTGGAATCCCACATTGTACACCGTGCCCGACGCGCACACGGCGAGCCTGCGGTGCCAGTGGGACGGCTGTACGCAATGCTTCGAGACCGCACGCTTCGGGGACATCGAGGCGCACCTCCGTGCCGCGCACTTTGCGCTCGAAGAATGGGACGCCGACCGGCGCGGGCTCTGCCGCTGGGTAGGCTGCGAGCGCGACAAGACGCTCTTTTTCAAAAGCTTCGCGAAGCACATCGCCACGCGCCACTTGCGCTCGACGGCCACGGTGTGCACAGTTCACGGGTGCGGGGAACGCTTCACGCGCGCGGATTCGAAGGCGCGCCATTTGATAAAGGTGCATGGTGTCGGCCTCTACGGCTGAGCCTTCGGTGCGCAGAGGCGAGTGGGATGGCGGAGCGTGCTTTTTTTCTGGGCTGTGCGCACCCGGCTCTATATGCATGGAAGTTTTTTTTTTGCTCGGAGATGCCCTTATCTAATGTGTTTGCTGTATTTCGGTCATGTCTCCGCTTCAACTTAAGATGCCACTTGTACCGATACGCTATGTGGTCGGGGAAAGGGAGAAGTGGATGTACATGGTAAATAGAAGTGGTAAAAGTTGTACATTACCGGTGGTAGTGCAACGGGACCGCAGGTTCAGGCTTTGGCCATTTAAGGCAAAATATGCGGTTCTAAACCTCCCGCTAGAGGCCATTACGGAGTCACTGGGTGGGAGCCAGCTGGTGGTCCCCCACTGCCCGTCAAAACCGCTCGAATCTCTAAGTCATCGTCTGCTCACAACCAGCCCGGGCTTAAATTGAGGGTACATGAGCCATATGTAAGAGGAAAGGGAGTATGTAAGGGGTGACTGGTGAAACGCGGCCGGTACAGTGGAAAATCATTCAGCGCCATTGGTTCCGCACAAGTTTGTAGGAACTGTAATATATAATCTCAATCTAACGTCGTGTAGACGGAGGACTAATGTGTGTACCTGTAAACTATAACTAGAGAGCTATAAGTAATAAGTTGCATAGAGTGAGGGACATACGCGCTCTCAATCCGACGCCGTGTAGACGGAGGACTGAGGTGCGCGGGCGACGATGTAAAACGTATCGTACCGCGAGTCACCATATTTAGAAGGATGGTAAATAAGATAAGGAACGAGTATAATAAGTAGCTAATAGTGTCTGTGTGTATTACTGACTTCACAATCCATTTATTTCGGCAGAGTTTGCCGAATGTGTTCGTGAGGCGGCGCGTAGCATATATGTACACCGTGAGGGGCTTGGTTGCCTTCGGGTGGTACAGGAGGATGATTGTGCTATCGTACTGAGCTGTCGCCTCAGGGCCGCCCTGTAGCAATGACACAACATGCCTGCGCGAGCGCGGAAGGACAGCACTTCACGAGACGTACAGTGGTGGCCAAAAGTAATGCCTGTGTAAGATATTATTACCGGGATATCCACTTCACAGTGCGGCAATTCTCTTGGTACTTATGGCAGTGTGCTAAGAAGGGAAGCGGCGGAGGCTCTGCTGGAGACAAGCCAGGGTTCGGCGTAGATCGGGAAGAGCGGAAGGATCTCGGGGAATCGCGCGAGTGGCGGGGTGTATTTGTGAGTGTTGACGCAGGTGTGACCGCTCGATCGTTGTTTCGCGGACTGGGAGGAAAATGTACCTAGGAGCCTCGACGGACCCATCTAGGCCAACTACGTTCGACGCTGGCGCCCGGTTTAGCACCAATACCGATGAATCGTCGCTCGGCGTTTGCGATTAGGGAAGCTAGCGAGCGATGCGGGCCTATAGTTGATGTGCTTCACGCGGCGACGACAGTGCCTCAACGAGTCCGTCTTGCTCACCTAGACATCATGTACATGCTTGGCCCCCGCCACATCTCCCTCCCGCTATCAGCCGCATGAAACTTTTCAAGGTAGAGCTGGAAGGATGCCGCGCCGTATTCGACCCACAAGTAAATCTTCAGTGGCACCTCACTCGGGTGGCCGTCCACAGTGTCAGACACGCGCGGTGAACAGGAATACAAAGGGAATGACAGAAGGATGGAAAAATAAACGAGGGGAGCGAAGTGCAAGATATATTAGCCTGCACCGGCGCGGGTGACAGGTGCTATGTCCTGGAGAAGCTACATCGGACATATCTCACTGGGGATGGTACCGCATGCATACGCAGGGGGAATGCCAGATGGATAGAAATTCAATGGATGGAGTGATGCGCAAGAGGGGATAGCCTGAACCGTTGCGGGCGACAGGCGCTATACCCTGGAGAAGCCACATCAGACACATCCAACTGCAAATGGTACTGCATGCGTACATCTGCTGTACCAATCTGGACTTATGCAGAATCATCCAGCCAATTTTTCCGTGCATTCTTGTAATTGGCCAGAGCATACGCTGCGCTGGTCCCATCGCGCTTGCAAGGATCATCCCAGTTGGGACCAGAAATAGGGAAGGGGATGTGGGAGCACTGACGTCGTAGGTGTCCTACCGCTAATTGTGCGCAAGACCCAAAGGCCCGTCATGCAAAAGCAGCGGCGACAAATAATGCACCATACGAAGCAGAGCTTTTGCTCCCTTTTCGTACCGTGAGTGGCTGTCATGAACGATATTCGTCCCCATGGCCCAACTTATGAAGCTTGATTTGCCTCGCTTCCACATCAATACATCAGCTGATCTCCGTGAATCTGAAGCAAGAGCGAGCACCAGAGCGCTGTGCTATTTGCAGATACTTTCATCCCCTATCGTGTCAGCTTCACTGGGAACAAGGGGATCAATACGTACATACTATGCATCGACGGTGAAGGGCATACCCGACTGACTGAGCTGTATACTCGAATCGCTTCCGTCGGATAATCCATCAGTGGGGATGCCAGAAGGAGTAGGGTATGATGGGATCTGGCAGTGACAGGAAAGGACGTCTGCGAAGGAGAGGCCCAGAGCTCAAGGTGGTATATAATTGGGTCGACGGATAGGTTAAGGCTGCTGCCTCGTGGATGAGACGAGAGTCGCACCAGCGAGGATTAGTGTACGTAATTCCAAAAGGAAAGATATCAAAGAACTACTTCGAGTTCTTGTACAACAGCGCCGAACAAATGTTCGCGCGCGCGCAGTGTAGCCTGACAGCGACGATTCAGTCGGGATGCTTCAGGACACTTCTCCTAAATATAACATACCTGACAGCGACGATTCAGTCGCTGTCATCTACTGTAAGTATACAAGTAGAATACACAGTGAAAAGGGAGACGTATGGATGCTTCAGGACACTTCTCCTGAAGCATCACGTTCCGAAGCATGAGAATATATACGAGTTTGTACCTGATGGTTATCTACGTGCATAATAATCGGTGTGAGTCCGTGCATGTTTCGTAGACACGCCGTATGAGCGTGTGCGTGTTGAACGCACCCGCGCAGACCTCAATCTGCGACAGAAGAGACAAGAACTCAGCGTGGCAACGAGCAGTAGAGGAGGAACTCTTCGCCATGTTTAGGCACCACAGACACGCGCGAAAGGGGAAGCACGAACTCAAGGATGCATTATACGCAGCTACAGTGCCTCGCCAAATCGCGACGAAGCCGTCTATAGTCTTGGCGCAGTCGCAAGCGGGAGATGGGGCCTCTGGTTGTGCTTGACAGCGTAAGGAGACGGAGTAGTGCAGTACAATACAAGTACCGACCAAGCTCATGCAGGCTGGGAGATACCGAACCAAGACGGGGGATGCAGGACAGAATCTAGTGCTCCCACCGGATTGACGAAGGTTCCAATCTGACAACGCGGAGTAAACGGTACTCTGCGCCGACGCACAAAATGGATAGGGAGGGGGGGATGTGAGGGACGGGGAGGTGGCCGTAGAGGGGAAACCAGTGAAAAAAGCCGCTGTGGGAGTTCCAACGCCATCACTACCCGTATGAACAATGAACTCCCAGATAGGCCATTGTATCAAAGTCCAAGGATGCCGATTCTATATGAATTGCGTAATCCTATGGTAGCAACGCTATCAGAAGATCTGGCGCCCCAGATTCTGGGCGGCGGTCAGGCGACCCTGAGCCGACTGGGTTGGCATTGAGAGGGGGGAACTGGACGCCGGCCGTCGAGTCGTATTTCCAAATAAATCCTTCGGATCTCCGTGGGAGTGCCGCCTTGACGGAATGCGTTGGAATGATGCCGGTCGATCAACAGACACGATACTGTTCACAATCCAGTGTTCGTTTAGAAAACGGACGAAAACCATACTGCCTACCCTACCAGCTGTCAACTTCCCTGTCGGACTCCATGGTCAGCACGGCGATGTGTGCGTACACACTCAAAATCCTATCTAGTGGTATCGGTGGTGTCTTGCGACGTAACGAGCCTGACAGCAGATCGCTAATTACGCACCTTACTTAAGACCCACATAGCAGCGGTAACTATTTTCTCAGAAACGAGAACAGTACCGGACGACGGCCCCCGTCCAGGCATCCGAGACTATTTCCAACACCGACATCAAGTTCGCCAAAACCGATTTATCGGCATATCTCGGCTGTGGCCAACTTCGGCCAAGCTCCAGAGCTCGGTTGGCGCCCAGTAGGATCCCTTCACACACTCTGCTGGGTTGTCCAAACGACGCCGAGTCGTCGGTCGGTTACCATCCTATCGGAACAGTCACGCCCTGCAAGGGTTCCATAACGTGCCGTCCATCTAAGAAGCTCCGGAATGAAACACAAGTACAACAACCCGACTCACCCCGACGAAGATCATTGGATGATGCGTTCCTGTGAGGGTTGCTTCTGTTACTATTCCCGAACATTGGGGATCACCCACGTTTTTGCTCCCGCCGTCGCATAGCGTCAAGAGTTGTTCGTATCAGACTTGATTGCCCCACATTATCACCACGAGCAATGGAAGACTCGTATGGTGATGACCTCGCGCTCCGAATTTGAGAGCGCCGCGTCTACGATATTTGGGAAGCTGAGTAGTATAGCATGTCCATTTGTGAATACATGAAGCTGTTGATAGGCCTCTGGACAAATCTCCACTTGTCGCCGCCTCTGCTTTGGAAGAACACAACGGGGGTCACTCGTTGTGCATGTGGAACTGTAATATATAATTTCAATCCGACGTCGTGTAGATGGAGGACCAAGGTATGTACCTGTAAAATATAACTAGAGAGCTGTAAGCTAAAGGTCGCATAAAAGAAAAGACATACGCACTCTCAATCCGACGTTGTATAGACGGAGGACTGAGGTGCGCGGGCGACAATGTAAAACGTATCGTATCGCGACTTACCATATTTAGAAGGATAGTACATAAGGTAAGGAACGGGTATAGTAAGTAGGTAATAGTGTCCGTTCGTATCACCGAGTTCACAACCCATTTACTTCGACAGTGCGCACGCGG